AACCTTTATGAGGAATTTGTGTAAAAACCTATATAGACAATTTTCAGTAACAATGTGTTTTACTTTCCAATAGTTCGAAATACCTGAAGAATTACCATTTCGACTGAAAACGTTCCCAGCGTCCCTAAGACACAGAATAACGGGGGTACCATTTTATAGGGGCTATCCGGAAACTTGGACCAATATTGCTAATCATTGGTAGGGCGATTTTCTACTGCATGTTATTCCAAAAATATTAAATTACAGTCAATTGAGTTGAAACACGAACTTCATATCGTTGCCGATGTTTACCTTACATTTGATATCTGTGTCATAATGCCAATTAAACTATTGTAGAGTACACTTTTTTATTAAATATTTATAAACACTTGTTTGTATATAGTTAAGAAGACATGCACATATATATTTTTTATCTAATAGCCATTACGACTGTCGTTGTGGGTCGCGTGTTTAATTTTCATTATATGTATACAACAACTACAATTGTGACAAATTGATAGGAGAGGGGTGGTGATTAATGCCTTTTGAATAACAGATTCTATTTGAACGATTTGTGTGTACAAATTATATTTTATTTCTCAAGAAAGGGAACAATTGCCATCGGTTCTGTTGGTGACAATTTGTTTCTAGAATACAGGTTGGTGTTCGACAACAGCTGTTAGGTGTGTCTCTCTGAGCATTGTATTTTTTTACTCCTTTAATTATATTTATAGAATTGGGAGGAAGTAATGTTGACACTGGAATATTTATTGGAAGGAATAATTGATATGAGATTATTAAAAAAATATATACTTTTTTCCTATTGTGAAAAAGTGTATTTGTTTTGCGTGTACTAAACAATTTTACATAATTACCAGAACACAGGTTGTTTCTAGTTATTGTTCTTAGTTCTGAAAACTATACTATTTCTATGTTGCAGTAAAAATAAAACCAAACTTAAACTTTGAAACTGTTATTTTTTGTCTTTTAAGTTTTTATTATTATCAATTATACTTAGTTTTTTTTTTTTTGTTGTATTTTAGTTAGTTTTAATAACAATTAAAATCCATAATTTGCAGAGTCATTAGCTCTTATCACCACTTATTAGTAAATAAATATATATTTCTTATAGATAATGAAATTAATACAGAGAATGACATCTGCAAGTGGAAGAGATACAATGTATTATCAACATTTTAGTTGCAACAAATCAATGACCGAACACTTGACACAAATTACACAATTCATAAAAAATTATCTTGATAAAATAATAAAAGGATAAAGAACGAAGAGAATCTGTGGAAAGGGGGGAGAGACACCCGAGTATTATCGGTTTTAAAAATTCAATATTTGTGTTTATAACCTGCGCTATTAGGTGAAGTATTTTCTTTTTTGCAATGCGTTTTCAATATAGATTCATGTTTATATTAGCCCCCATACATTGGTCCCGCCAACCTGAGTATCTGTAATTTGGTATGCAATTTTGTACATTTTATAACGACACCGTCCTGCTGGGCCGACTATAAGATACCCTTCACCACTTTGGGTATATTCTACATATCGCTCATTTGCTGCAAGACAGGCATAACTCAAACCAGTAAGGAAAGTAGTAAAGTCGGACGGGGCCGACTATATAATACCCTTCACCACTTTGGGTATATTCAACATGAATCCTAACAAACTTCGCATTTTTAAAGGACCAGTAAAATGAAATTAGATCCATAAACATGTCATCCTGCAACCGATACTAAATTTTTCATTTGGTCATATATAGAAGCTATATCCAAATCTGAACCGATTTTTAAGAAACTTAACACACATCATTCTATACCTAATTCATTACGCTGTGCAAAATTTCGTGCAAACCGAAAGATATTAAAGGACTTTGGTACACCATTTACCTTAAATATATATGGGAGCTATATATAAATCTGAACCGATTTTCACGAAACTTAACACACATCATTCTAGACCTAATCCATTGCGCTGTGCAAAATTTCGTGCAAATCGAAAGATATAGAGGGTCTTTGGTGCACCATTTACATTAAATCGGACGAACATATATATGGGACCTATATCCAAATCTGAACCGATTTTTAAGAAACTCAACACACATCATTGTAGACCTAATCCATTGCGCTGTGCCAAATTTCGTGCAAACCGAAAGATATATAGGGACATTGGTGCACCATTTACATTAAATCGGACGAAAATATATATGGGAGCTATATCTAAATCTGAACCGATTTTCAGGAAACTTAACACACATCATTCTAGACATAATTGATTACGATGTGCCAAATTTCGTGCAAATCGAGAGATATCTAGGGACTTTGGTGCACCATTTACCTTAAATCGGAACAAAATATATATGGGAGCTATATCTAAATATGGGCCGATTGTCAAGAAACTTGGCAGACATCATTCCAGGATCAATTCAGTACGTTATGCTAAATATCGTACAAATCGAAAGATATATAGGGACTTTGGAGCACCATTTACATGAAATCGGACGAAACTATATATGGGAGCTATATTTAAATCTGGGCCGATTTTCACGAAATAATATATAGGGACTTTGGTGCTAGTCTAGGCTAGGCTTTCCAATGCCGGGTTCCATGTGCGGTAACATTTTTAGATTTCGCACAATGGGCATCGATGATAACTTTTCAAATTTTAGTAATATCTGTTGTTATTCAATAAAACAGATATTACTAAAATTTTTTGAAAGCGGTTTTAAATATCTTTGGGAATAATTACCTTTCCGGGAGTACCAATATTTTGCCTGTTTTATTTATATTTATTGCACAATTGGTCATTGAATTGTTATAAAAACGATTTTAACATCTGTTATACTGAACTGTAGTCTGTTATACGTGTCTATGCTAAATTTTGGTGGATTGAGTCTTTGCTAGTTAAAATCGTTTTTATCTTCACGCACATATCTCCGGGCGTACTGTAGGCTTGGTAAAGATAATATATTGTACAAAGTTTGATTCAAATCGGATAGCCAATTCGCATAACATTCTAAAATTATTTTTTAGCACAATTTTTACCATTTTGTGGGGGGAGATACCAGAAGGAGTGAACCGAACCACTTTCGAAGTTTGTCCGATTGAGACGAAGTTTTGCATACCGTATCGAATTGAACCTAGATTAGGCTTGTTACGTTTTGGCGAAATATCTAAATATATAATTAATCTATTTATATCCCGCATATGATGAATACACACTATTTTAGATATTTTTAAGATTCTAATGGTATTTCAAAATTTGGCGAATGTTTCGTAGGATTTATATGTATATCTTACATAAGCTTACAGCAAACGTAATTGTTTTAACGTTACAAATATTTAAAAATGACAAATGTTATATGAATTCATGATGTATTCAATTAGTTTGGCTAATTGCTATACAATTTCATTTCAATATTCTCCTTCTTAATTTGCCTAATTAAAATGACATTAACAAAATAATTGTGACAATAAAATATATAATGTACATGCAAACATACCTATACATATAACAAATGAATAATTAACACATACTTACTTATATATGTATGAAGGAACTTGCAATAGAGATATTCAAATTACTTATTTAATTATTAGTTATTAGTTATGGTAGAAATGTTTCCATGGGTCCGGCCATTTAAATCATTTGGTGCAGTGCATTTTTTGGCACGCTTAACTATTTTATAATATGCATAATAAAATAATTTAGATAACTTTGGCTCCACTGTGGCTACTATAAAGAAATTTCTAGAGACATTGACTATATATTTTTAGAAATCATAAAAACATGACGTGTATATAATGACAAAAAATGCAATACTGATAATGGACTATACAATACCAAATCACACAGATTTAAAGCCATGTGATTAAACATTTGTGTGTGAAAAATTAGGTGTTTCTTGTGGGAGTAATTATCAGTGTCGGGTTTTAATCATAACTGAGGAAAAAATAAATGTTATGGCAGCTATAATAACAAATATACGAAAAAGGAAGACATGTTTCCCTTAGCCTTAGGGCAAATGAGTTTAGAATTTGAAAGTAGAATTTGATACAATCAAAAATGTGGGTTGGGCACCTTTGAACACGGTACACATTTATAAAGCGTTCATATAATCTCGGTTTAAAATTTTTCCGATTCGCAACCAATTTGTATACCCTACACCACACTTTGGTACAGGTTATTATGTCTTTGTGCGTATGTAATAGGCAAAAGGAAACGAGATGGACCCATGGAATCATTTTTTGAGTCGTCCGTCTGTGCATGTTAAATTGTATGCAAAATACAGGTCGCATTTATGATCCGATTTGGATGAAATTTGGCACAGCTCATTTGTTTTGTCCAAGTACGAACCCTATTGAGATTGGGTTATATATTTTCGTCCGATCTTATATAAATGATGCACCACAACCCCAATATATATATGTCTGATTTCGCATGGCGTACTGAATTAAGTCTAGAATGGTGTGTATTAAGTTTCGTAAAAATCGGTTCATATTTAGATATACAAAGCTTAGGTCAAGTTGGAATATGGGACCCATTGGCCCACCCCTGCTGGTACCTCCCTCACAAACGGTCAAAATTTTCGATATTTATAAATTCAATATAACATCTTTTAATGTGGAAACATAACTTCTGGAAACCGATATTCTACCTACCTCAATGAATCGTTCGATTTTTATTTAATTTCCAACAACAATCGGTTACTTAGAAATAAAATTATCTCAAAACTATTTTTAGGTGATTTACTATGTGGAAGCTTCTGTATATTTGCTAATCTACGCAATCGGTCACGGTGACTTGCTATCTAAAATCAAGTTAGAAATTGGGCAAAGGGCTTTTTTTAATCAATACTATTGGCTATAAAATGCACTGAACCCCTGGAAAGGTGATCATTTCTTAAGGCGATAACACAACAAGCAACAAGGTGAGTGGGACTAAAACTAATAAAAACTTTAATTATTGTCTTCGATGTTCCTTGTGATATGGTAACATTTTATAAAAATAATATCCTCTAATTACAGTTATGGATTTCTATTATATGCCACCCTCTGCACCCTGCCGTGCTGTCGAAATGACCGCCAAGGCTGTTGGTGTGGAATTGAACAAAAAAATTGTGGACCTCACCAAAGGTGAACATTTGAAACCTGAATATCTGAAAATCAATCCTCAACACACCATTCCCACCTTGGTCGATGGTGATTTTACTCTGTGGGAATCTCGTGCCATTATGATTTATTTGTGTGACAAATATGACAGCAGCAAAAAATGGTATCCTGATTGTCCCAAACTTCGTGGTGTTATCAATCAACGTTTGTACTTCGATATGAGCACACTGTATCGGAGTTTTGCCGATTATTATTATCCACAGATTATGAAGAAAGCTCCTGCCGATCCAGAAAAGTTTAAGAAAATCGAACAAGCTTTTGAATTTTTCAATACCTTTTTGGATGGTAAACAATTTGCTGCTGGCGATGTGATAACAATTGCGGATATAGCTCTCTTGGCAACAATGACCACCTTCGAAACGGCTAATTTTGATATCAGCAAATATGCCAATGTTGCTAAGTGGTATGAAGCCTGCAAAACAGCTGTTCCTGGTTTTGCTGAGAATTTTGAGGCCAGCCAAAGCTATAAGAAGTATTTTGAGAATTGAATATAAGTGGTGTTAGAGGTTTAAGATTGTGTATTTTTTCAGTTAAATATAAAATAAAATTGTTTATTAAATATTTTTTTTAATTATACGATTTCTTAATAACAAACAAAAACATCTTGAAGTGCAGATGTTTCATTTTTTCAAGAACCTACATATGGCGTAGATTTTTAAAATAAATTTTTCAAGAACCTACATGAGGCGTAGATTTTTAAAATAATTTTTTCAAGATCCAACATAAGGCGTAGATTTTTAAAATTTTTTTTCAAGAACCTACATAAGGCGTAGATTTTTTAAATAATTTTTTCAAGGGCCTACATAAGGCGTAGATTTTTTAATCATTTTTCAAGGACCTACATAAGGCGTAGATTTTTTAAATAATTTTTTCAAGGACCTACATAAGGCGTAGATTTTTTAAATAATTTTTTCAAGGACCTACATAAGGCGTAGATTTTTTAAATAATTTTTTCAAGGGCCTACATAAGGCGTAGATTTTTTAAATAATTTTTTCAAGGGCCTACATAAGTCGTAGATTTTTTTAAATAATTTTTTCAGGGGCCTACATAAGTCGTAGATTTTTTAAATAATTTTTTCAAGGCTCTACATAAGGCGTAAATTTTTTAATAATTTTTTCAAGGGCCTACATAAGGCGTAGATTTTTTTAATTAATTTTTTCAAGGGCCTACATAAGGCGTAGATTTTTTAAATAATTTTTTCATGGGTCCACACAAGGCGTAGGTTTTTTAAATAATTTTTTCAGGGGCCTACATAAGGCGTAGATTTTTTTTAATAATTTTTTCGGAGGCCTACATAAGGCGGAGATTTTTTAAATAATTTTTTCAAGGGCCTACATAAGGCGTAGATTTTTTAAATAATTTTTTCAAGGACCTACATAAGGCCTAGTTTTTTTAAATAATTTTTTCAAGGACCTACATAAGGCGTAGATTTTTTAAATAATTTTTTCAAGGGCCTACATAAGGCGTAGATTTTTTAAATAATTTTTTCAAGGGCCTACATAAGTCGTAGATTTTTTAAATAATTTTTTCAAGGCCCTACATAAGGCGTAAATTTTTTAATAATTTTTTCAAGGGCCTACATAAGGCGTAGATTTTTTTAATTAATTTTTTCAAGGGCCTACATAAGGCGTAGATTTTTTAAATAATTTTTTCAAGGGCCAACATAAGGCGTAGATTTTTTAAATAATTTTTTCAAGGGCCTACATAAGGCGTAGATTTTTGAAAATAATTTTTTCAAGGGCCTACATAAGGCGTAGATTTTTTAAATAATTTTTTCAAGGGCCTACATAAGGCGTAGATTTTTTAAATAATTTTTTCAAGGACCTACATAAGGCGTAGATTTTTTAAATAATTTTTTCAAGGACCTACATAAGGCGTAGATTTTTTAAATAATTTTTTCAAGGACCTACATAAGGCGTAGATTTTTTAAATAATTTTTTCAAGGACCTACATAAGGCGTAGATTTTTTAAATAATTTTTTCAAGGACCTACATAAGGCGTAGATTTTTTAAATAATTTGTATTTATTTAAAAAATCCAAAAAATACAATTACAATTTATTACGGAAAATCTTTTCGAATATTTTGCATCCCTCCAAATTTTCAGCATAACCAGGCACTGCAATTTTGCACGCTTCATACCACCTAGCCACATTGGGATATTTACTCAAATCAAATTTAACCGAATCGAATGTGGTCACCGTCGATAACAACGAGATATCCGCAATAGTTACAAAATCGCCAGCAGCAAATTGTTTACCCTCCAACAGAGTGTTGAACATTTCAAATGCACGTTCAATATTTGTATACATTTTGGGATCGGCACGTTCTCCCCTCAACATTGTTGGATAAAAGTAATCGGCAAAACTTCTATATAATATTTCCAAATCAAATAACATACGATGTTGAACTATAGCACGGAGTTTTGGACACTTGGGATACCATTTGCCTGCCGCATCGAATTTTTCACATAAATACATCATAATGACACGAGATTCCCAGAGAACAAAATCACCATCGATCAGCGTGGGTACAGTGTGTTGTGGATTGATTTTGAGAAATTCTGGTGTCAAGTGTTCTGACTTGCGAAGATTCAGGAACTTCTTATTTAAGTCAACACCCAATGCCTGGGCAGTCATTAGCACTGCCCGGCAGGGAGCAGATGAGGGGATATAATATAAATCCATGACTGTAATTAATTATTATGTCAAAAATAATTCTTTCATTGAAAACTAATGGAAACTTACCTGGCGATTTTGAATAAATCGAAATTTCTTTTGAAATGAATTTTTTCTATGAAGTCAACATAAAAACACTCTCTTTGCGTGGCTACTCACAAGTTTTGTACTATTTCAACACTTCTTGCCGATAACAGGTTATCGCAGACAAGCGTATAGATTAAACAATGTCTATAACCCATTCACATAGTGCGGATGGTGGTAGTGTTGGTGACAGCATAAATTTGTATATAATTTAATCAGATTTTTATAACTACAAAATATATAGCGTTTTATTTACATATAACGGGTTAATTTGTATTGAAATGAAGTTTGAAAAGAATTTTAGAATAACATCGATATCGATTTCAATAAATGTGGAGTGTTATTATGGCTAATGATTGACATGCTCATTTTTTCACATTAGTCTATACGTTCATTGGTTAGGGAAACAGTGTATGTTCGACTGTCTGTCAAGTTGGAAGATCATACTTGAATCTTTAGAATCCAAGAGTTCCATTTAAATGATTTGACGCCGAAAAGAAAATCGTTTGTTTAACACCAAAAAAGGAGCGGATAAAAGACGGACGCGGATACATTTAACAGGTAATCTAAAAATCGTATAGTAACCCATTACACTGTGACATACAATTGAGGTTCCGGGGGTAGATAATTCCTTATGGGAATAAAAGCCATTGGCGACTATGTTAAGATTCCAGGAGGACAAATTCGCCAGAAGTCAAGTTTTTTTTACTATGGAGTCATGATAATTCCAAAGATAACGAGTTTCATATATATTTATATATATAAGCGAACTATTTTGAAAAATGTTTGGAAGTCACAAAATCTCGTGTTGTGGTATTTAAGGGTTCAATAAAAAAGGCCAAAAAATATACACAAGTACTCTAGATAAAATAAAATATAACTTCCAAAATATGTTAGACCTCCATATAAAGTTATAGCCCTAATTTAAGTATTTTGAAGGTGTGTTTCAATCGAATTAGCTTTAATTTAATATTTCTGATTCCTATTGGGTTATAAATCTTGTCAATATTGGTCCACCTTTGGTAGCCAATATTTAAAGTAACTCCATACTAATATCGTGTTTTGGGGAGTTTTGACCTGTTTTTCAACCGAATTGGTTGTAATGTACACAAAATTATCAATATTGATACACTACCAATATTTTTATACACTAATGAGGGTATATACACTTTGATATGGTAAAAATTAGCCTCGTCGAAATATTGGTCTTAGATTTTTTTTGGACCAAATCCGTTTCAAATTTGGAATCGATTTACCCATGTCCGTCCATTGTCCGTCTGTCTGTCTGGCTGCTGCGCACGATAAGTCTCGAAGGGAATAATCGATTTCATCCAAACTATGTACATCTTAATATTTCTTCCGAACATAGTTTAAGTTCGAAGATGTGGAATATTGGTCCACTCCTTTTGGTCCTCCCCCACAAATTGGTCCAACGGACTATCCGATTTTAACCAAACTTTGTACAACCTATTATATTTACCAAGCCTAGATCGGGTACCTCCCCCACAGAGGGTCAAAATATTCAATATTTATAAATCCAATATCATGACGTGAATGGAATGTCCGATTTGAACCAAATTTTGCACAATTTATTACCTTTATCAAGCCTAGATAAAGTTAGAAGATGAGACCATTGGTCCACTGCTTCTGGTACCACCCCCACAAAGGGTCAACATGTTTAAATGTATGAATCTAATATCAAGCGAATGGAATTTTCGATTTGTACCAAATTTTGCACAACCTATTCTATTAACCAAACCTAGAACAAGTTTAAGGATGGTCCCATTGGTCCACTCCTTTTAGTACCTCCCCCACAGAGGTTCAACATTTTCAATATTTATAAATCCAATATCAGCGAATGGAATTTCCGATTTTAACCAAATTTTTGGTGGGACCGATTTGTCCACTCCTTCTGGTACCACCCCCCTCAAATGATCGAAAATTTTTAATATTTATAAATCCAATATCAGGCGATGTCCGAAGATGGGACCCATTGGTCCACTCTTTCTGATATCTCCCACTCAAATGGTCAACATCCTCCGCAAAACATAGGGTGAGGGGATATATCTGCAATCGGCAACATCGACTGACCCGTTTTTACTTGATTGATATTGAAGTATGGGGTCTACTTTACGTTACATTTTTTTATAACATGCGCCGTACTGTTGAACTCAGTATTGTGGCCTGATTATATAGATTGTAAATGAGACGAAATTTCGCATAGCGCGCCGAAATATGTTTAGGACTTTGTTATATTTTCTCATATCATATTTTACAATAGTACACTCAAGCTTTTTGAAGTCGATTCAGACTGAGATATAGATCCTATATATATTTTCATCCGATTTTATATTAATGCTCCACCAAAGACACTCAAATATGCTCATACTCCAGAAATGGGTTTAGTATGACGTATGTCAACTTTAATGGAAATTGGTAACACCCTTTTTTTATTCGAACGGGGTGATATACATGACGATGAAATTTTGCCCTTATGATCACAATTGATGTCTCTTATGCCCTGATGATCCATCTAAAAATCCACACCTATGACCCTGTGGATGTCGCTAAAAATATTTTTAAACAATACAGGCCTATGACTCTGATTCTCGCTCTGAAAATCCACACCTATGGTCCTGTTGATCACTCCAAAAATCCACACCTATTGCCCTGATGATCCCTCTAAACGACTACTTTAAAAATCAAGCCTACTACTACTTTAAAAATCAAGCCTTTGCACCATGATAAGACACCAGCTAACACGATGCATGTTCTAGATGGTGAGGCATAGTATCGGTTTTGTTTTGTTTGGCCAAAAACAAAACGGATACTATGCCTCAACCGGCTAACATTGCCACCGCTGATTTTTTCCTCTTTTTAAAATTGAAGAAACCGATTATCGAAAACGATTGAGAGGATAGAAGAAAAATGGCAAAAGAAACTTGTGGCTAAACCGTTTCAGAAGAATTATTTTTTAATCAGGCCTCGTATAGTTAACGTTCTAAGAATACTAAAACTATTACCAATGTCTTTGGAAATTAAGTCTAAAATGTATGAATATTCCGTATCGATATTATTCAATATCTATCAGCTGTATTCAAGTGCCTGACTCATTTTTGTTTGCATATCAAATTGGCATTTAACGCTGATTAATAACATAATGATACCATAAATTATATGCTGTAGATATCGGTAATCCCATGATGTAGGGTATATACAGAAGCGCTTTATAAATACATAGTTTGTTTTTATTAGAATTGGCAGTGTTTGGGACAAAGGTTAGTTCCATATATTTTGGAAAATATACAATTAATCTATTCAAGCATGTATCTCTCTTTAGTTTAATTGTAGCTTCATATACATTTATTACACTGTGCAACAAAAAAATTAATTATTTATGTGGTACCTGTTATGTGGTACACACAAATGTGGTACCTGTTATGTGGTACACACAAATAGTTCTCACTGAGAGTAGGTGTAAGGACATTTGGCAGACCCTGGTTTAAACCCATTATAGCCTTAATTAAAAAATTAACAAAGCCCGGTCCGAAATTTGTGAAAGTGAAGTGGACATTCCAAATACCTAAAACGGACCGGGCCATTACAATTACAGAACTATCGTTTGTTTATTATATATATATGTATATACCGATGCTACTATGGTCTGAGCAAACAACTCAAAAGCAATGCAACCTCCCGCCAGACCAAACTCACACTTTACAAGACACTGATGGGTACTTTGCGCAAGCAGATGAGGCAGATCTTGGGGTGTTTGAAAGAAAAATTCTCCGAAAGATCTACGGGCCGATCTGCGTCGACGGTGAATATCGGCGTCGAATGAATCACGAGCTCTACAATTTATACGCGGACATCGACATAGTCAGTCGTATTGAGCTGCAGCGACTACGGTGGCTAGGCCATGTTGTGCGGATGAATGAGTATGCCCAATGAGTATGAGTATAAAACGAGCCTACTGATGGTTCCCGTAGAAGGGAAAGGCCACGAATTAAATAGAAAGACCAAGTAGAAAACAACATCTTGGAACGTGGTTTTCCAAATTGGTGGATTTGCGCACAAGACCGACGCGCTTGGAAATCTTTTTTAAGCTCGGCTTATGGAACAACCGTTCTGTAACAAGCCAGCTAAGTATGTAAGTAATTTTTTCTGAACCTTTAGAAGGCGTGGATTTTTAAGGAATATTTTTTGGGGCCTTTAGAAGGTGTCGATTTTTAAAGAATATTTTTTGGGCCTTTAGAAGGCGTGGAATTTTAAAGAATATTTTTTTGGGCCTTTAGAAGGCGCGGATTTTTAAAGAATATTTTTTGGGGCCTTTAGAAGGCGTGGATTTTTAAAGAATATTTTTTTGGGCCTTTAGAAGGCGTGGATTTTTAAAGAATATTTTTTGGGGCATTTAGGAGGCGTGGATTTTTAAAGAATATTTTTTGGGGCATTTAGAAGGCATGGATTTTTAAAGAATATTTTTTGGGGCATTTAGAAGGCATGGATTTTTAAAGAATATTTTTTGGGGCATTTAGAAGGCATGGCTTTTTAAAGAATATTTTTTGGGGCATTTAGAAGGCATGGATTTTTAAAGAATATTTTTTGGGCCATTTAGAAGGCATGGATTTTTAAAGAATATTTTTTGGGCCATTTAGAAGGCATGGATTTTTAAAGAATATTTTTTGGGCCATTTAGAAGGCATGGATTTTTAAAGAATATTTTTTGGGGCAGTCAGAAGGCGTCTATTCAATTTTATTTTTAAAATGGTGTCAATAGAACGTATAAGTAACGACAACACTCATACCAACCTTGAGAAAGTGATACAACAGTATCATATTTTAAAGCCTATAATCATGAGTCACACCTCCAAGTTTTCAAACGATACTTCCCAAGGTCATCCAAACCCATTTTTGTTGCACAGTGTTCCG